CCTAGATTTTTGGCGCCACGCAATCTCCTCCATCTCCACTAACCTCTCCAACTCTCCCCTTAATACTCCACGTCTCTCCCTCTCCTCCTCAATCAACCCACATCTAACTCCTCTTTGTCTGAGAAACACTGACTTTTACGCCAATTAACATCGCGCACAACCTCTTCATTCCACCTCTTTAAATCCCCTTTCAAAGCCTTTAATTTCTAATCCAACACAAAGCTGAGAGACCCCCTACAATTAAAGAAATAAATTAACCTGTTACTACCCTCTAGCCTTCTTGAATTTTGAACTGCAACATTCTCCTTGAGTTGGAGAAGATTTGCCTACGAATCCTGTGTTGTTCGTTCATCCATTGGTACCTCATGAAGGCAATCCGCCCGATAAATCAACAAAGAAAACCAATTTATTCTTCCAAACAGTGCAATCAACCACGTCATTATTTCAATTTTGATATTCACAAGAATGATGAGTATTGCTTCCACATCAATAAATAAATCTACTATCTCTTTCATGCGCTCTGAAGCCACTAACATCTTATTTAACCACTTAAGTTCTATAATGCATTCTCCAATTGCCAGCGTGAAAATAGGATGTTTTTAAAATTCAACATCCTTCCTAATCTTGTAAACCACACCTTTTACGAGTGTGAAACAACTCTTATTCACAAGGCTAATCCCGAAACCAAAAGAGAATTATATGCATCATGAGAGTGACACACAAATCATATAAGCCACTACAACCGTAAGAACAAAGCCCAACACGAACTGATTTATCATTGTTTTGGCACGTTCTATTTTCTTGGTAACAAAAATACCAAAATCAATCCAATAACCATCATTTAAGTTCGTACAATATCCATGATCTTACCTATACAGAACGAATTTCAATTAAACTCCCCCTTTATGTGTCAGTTTCTCTTTTAATTGCTCAAAATAGTGATACAACTTTAAAACCAAAATTTGTTGATGTTTCATCTCGAATTCCTTGGACCATTCCTTGGAGATCTCAACATTATACTCAATGAAAATTGGAGCACTTGCATAACCATCACCATTCACATCTGTAAATTTAATATCTTCATTGACTTCATTGTCAAAAATAGATGGGACATCATAACTTCTTTTATCCAAATATCACTATTAAATTCAGAAAAATCAAATTTAAAACTCGATTCCCCTAGATTTCTGATCCACCACCAATGTCCGAATCCGCTAGTTCGTCATCGGCTCACCGCAGACAAAAGGGTGTGAATGAATTGTTGTCCCATTCGCTTACCTATGTCTCCATCATTGAATTGTCTTAGTTTAATGTCGTGCTAAAGTATCAAGAGTTGCGTCAACAAGTCCACTTGTCGATGCAATAATGCAATCTCACCTCTCCAATCATGTCATCCATAACATTACGTCTCATTGGACAAGGATCTCAATATGATCTAATACCAAACTATGCAGCATGAAGTGAAAAAAATTCGACACAAGGATCCAATGATTCTAAGGATACCTGGATGTTCGGCGTCAAAGATTCATTGGTTCACAAAGAATATGAAAAATTCAACAGTGATATAGAAAACTCTCAATTTTGTTAATAAAATCCAAGCCATATGCCAATGTTGCAGCTCGCAAACCTAATCAATATAAAATTATCCCTACTTAATTATAACGACATAATAAATAAGAAAGATATAAAATATTACGAGCCTCTATCCTTCTTGGATCTACTTGGATCTTGAATTGAATCACGATCATTCCCATGTTTCACACGAGTACAAGAGGTGAGAAAAATTGCAATATTCCTAGATCTTTCATGACACTTGAGTTCATGGACCTAATGGTTACCACCTTCAGTTTTCCTTATTAACCTATTGAGGGTTTTCAATTTCTGGTTTAATAATGGATGCTGCATACAGGTAGGATGATGTACGTTAAAAATTATGTTGTATGACTAATCATAACAAATTGCAGGGCTAATTATGATCACATTTTAAACTCATGCACACTAGTGCCGTTAAACTACAGGAATTTACATGCTGAAATTGCAGGATCTACACTACAATTACGTCCGCTGAGTCCAAATCATCCTTGGGACAAATTCATTAGATTTGTATGCATAATAACATCAAAGCGATTAGTTTTTTCCTTCTCAGACAAAAGAAGTGTCTTAGTTTAGTTATTTGTATCTATTTTTTGTCAGCCACAAGCTCAATTTGCCGAAAATTAAATTTGTATGCCAAATTGTTAGGTGTACTTCGGAGAATGCAGAATTCATGATTTTTTTATTTAAAGGAGATTGCAACTTTCTTTCACCTTTTCACTTCAGCCCCAGTAGGCCTTGGTACCACACCGCATCTACTGTACTTAAAATTATTGTCAAAACCAAATGAAAAGGTGGTGGTCAATGTGCATCTTCTTAAAGGCACAAGTATGACAAGGAATAAGGAAATAAGTACTAGAACTAGTGAGTTTAATCAATTATCAACTTCATACAAAAGTTCAAGAATCAGATGACAGATATGTCCCAAATTCAGAAAATACCCACCATGCTTGTATCTGCTCTTAAACATTAAACCAAAAGCAGATCAGCATATGACCGCTGGACCACATATAAAACCTATGAAATTCCAACTATTATAATGTAGAAGTTTGTGTGTGCAAGCACATAGAAAGATGTAAACAAGATCTACAAATTAAACTGCAAAAAAAATTAGCAATAAATCAAGCTGCAAAAATAACAAAAAGAATTACCATAAGCATTCCCAATCTCGTAAATACTGGAGATGGTGCAGACTAAAATCAGGGTTAGTGCCAGTAGAAACCAGTTCATGACTGGGATGTAAATCTGACCCATGAATTTCCGCGAGGTATGAATTATCTTAAGGCGAGGAAAGCAACCAAGTGCTGTTGATTGTTTAATACAGGAGAAAGTTGCCGTAGTCATAGTCCTACTTGCAATCAATGCTGCTACATTAGCTATGAGAAAGACTGGCCAAAAAGCTCCACCTGCAGCAGAAATATTTTGTTCCAGGTATAATAATTAATTTATTTATATTTTCATGCTTATACTTATCTAGGATTAGGAGTCCAAGTCTAGGTTAAAATGCATGACAAACTCTAGGAAGCTGTGAGAAAAATAAAACTAATGTACCCGTTAGTTGTATATAGACAATAAAACTTTACTGTTGACCTTATCTAAAGTTGTGCATGTAAGGATTAATTATCATGACCGGGTCTTTAATACACATAAAGATACAACCAGAAAGAAGAATACAAACAAAGAAGGAAGCAATAACCGAGTTTTAATAAGACAAAATAATAATTACTTGGAATAGAAGAGAAGAAAGCTTGGGTTGTATCAGCATGGTTCTCCATGAGGTAAGCAGCTTGACCCAGGTAGCCCAACAGAAGGCAAGGTAACACAAGAAACGTGAAGGTAAGCTGGTTCAACAAATTTGGGTCCCAGTAAGAAAAATTTAGACAAAGAAGACACTCTTTTATATCATTTCATTACAGGGGGAGGATAAAGACAAAACAAGAGGAGTATCTGATGTTTACTGCTTTACCTGCACAGATCTCACGGAAAAATAGCAAAGATCTGCAAACATTGCCTCAGAACCTGAGCCAACATAACTGATCATCAGAAGTATATTAGAAAATTTTCAAATTTAAAATAAAGAAAAACAGAAATAATTTAGAGATGACAGCCAGGAATGTAATGTTGCTGATGAACCAAAACTCATAGATGAGCAATTTAAGCATTTTGAATTATTCACACAAGAACAAACACCTTTTGCAGAACTCTTCTTTTTTTTTTTTTTTTTTGATAGATAATCAAAAAAATTTATTAATAAAAAATACACAGGAAGTGTATTATCAGTTAAACAAGAAAAAAAAGATATAAAGTTAGGCAGCCCCTCTATAAAGTTATTGCAGAACTCTCATTTTGTACAAGAATTCTACAATTATAAAAATAAATAAATGTCACTTAAAATATTACTCCCATTAGTGTTGATACCTAAACATTGAACAGCTACTCTTTAAGGAACAAGATAAGTACTACTCAATCAGTTTTCAAATTTATATTTTATTTTGAAGGTTTTCAAACACATTTCCATACTTCAGAACATTTACCTGTTGCACAAAGAAGACAGCCCCCAAGGGAGTACCAAGCCTTCATAGAATTTCGCTTGAAGAAATAATAGATGTGAACTGGATTAAATGCCCTCAGGACCATGGTATCATACTTAAGAAGGTTGTATATGCCAATGCCTCCAAGAGAACAAAACCATATGAACAAGGCAGGACCAACTATAAGTCCCACTTTACTTGTTCCATATTTCTGTACACTAAACAAAATTATAAGAAATGCAACCGAGATCATCACCACATGATCTGCAATACAAAACTAAAATGGCTGAGTAATTGGCTTGATTTCATGTCATTATGGATTAATAATTATAGGTTTCAATGTATATGTTTTGAATTAAATGTAACGCAACAATTTCAGTTACAAGGTAATATAACTTCAACCAGCTCTTAGTAATTCACAGTTACACTGATTTATTCCTAGCTCAAGCTTAAAAGCCGAAATTTATACAATTTGTATACATTGCTGAGGTGGTCAGAAAAACAGTAACATGACAGGATGGCACAACCCAAATTTGAGTAACAACTCCCAAGATACTATCCCCCGTTTGGCCCCCATTTTCTAAAATTCATTTTTTCTCAAACTCATTTTAAACCGCACATTTAATGATACCCATAACTGTTGTCAACTTTTCAATCAAAAGTTTCATCAAAATCTACTAAAAAACTGATTTTTAGCTAAACCAAATAGGGGCTATATAAATACCGTAAGCACACCCCTATTTAATAGAGAACACACGCTAAAGATACCACAGAAACACCCAAAATTCCTCACAGACACCTTCTCTTTTCTCCTCGAAAGTAATCAGAATTGCAGCATTTTTTTAATAATTGAAGTCAGCGATTTGGTAATTTATACTACTTTGTAAGTGCTAAGCTCCTCAGATGACTAAAAAAGTGACAATTCATCTTTAACTGGTGAAGTCTCTTTGATTTAACTAAGCAATCATAGTTAAGATCTTGGTGTTTCTCAGACGAAGCTTACCCTACAAAACTGAATCCTGATGTCATTCGACAGCCTAGGTGGGACTTTAATGATCAAGACATATATAAATATTTGCAGGAGTAGAATGATTTTGAATCTCAACCCACGACAAATAGTGTTAAGCAGAGGAAAGAACAACTCTTCTACAAGGAATCTACTTATCTTGGATTTCACTTACTTAAAGAGGATCACTCACCTTGCTTTATCCCAGAAACTCCAATCTTTAAGCCACTAACAGCAGATATCACTGCACATGCATTATTAAAAATTTATATCAACTTCAAGCAATAAAACATGTTTTGAAATGAAAAACACGTGACAATGCCCTTGGACTACCAAAGCACTAAATCCTCCAAGACCAGTAAAATGCATTAACTTGAATACGCTAACAATTACCTGACATTGCAGGTGTAACAACGCCACCAGCTATCACCATTGAAGTAGCAGCAAGAACCAACATCAGTATAAGCTTTTTCAGAAAAAGAGAAGCTTCAAGTCTTTCCATTATTTTCAACGACCTTTCTAGTTCTGGAGATGGAACCTTAAGTCTGAAGCTGAATATACGAGTATCTGATGGGAGTCGGTTAGGGAGAAGGCTAACTTTAGCATGCCTACAAATCAATGAATATAAAGCAAATGTACCACCTGCAGCAATTACGCAAATAACGAATCAAACTCATTAATTAAACGAATATACAGCACATACAGAGTACAGCCATGGATGAATGTGGTAATGAAAATAACAAAGATTGGATACCTTCACCATTGTCATTGGCCCAGAGAACAATAAGGGCATACTTGATCAGTGGAAACAGAATTAAGGTGTACAAAACTAGTGACAGTGCACCAAGAATATCTTCATTCCCACAGACTGGTGCCTTGCTGAACATCACACTGAAGGTGTATAGTGGACTTGTCCCCACATCACCAAAGACGACCCCAAGTGTCTGAAAAGCCAGTATAATTCTCCTGCCCATGCTGACATCCTGCAATTATCTTTCGAGAATAAAGATACCAACCCCTCGTGACTGCTTTTTGGTCATACGAAAATTTAACAAAAGCTTATGTGCAATGGTTCTTCTTCCATTTTCTCAATACAAATACTAAAAGAAAGTTACTCAGAGAGAACTCGATTCCCAAAGATATAGATGAGTGCTAAGTTACTTAGTATCATATCTTAACACCTCTGCCACACAGTAGCTCTTGAGTTGAATTGGGTTAGAAAACGTGAAAAATGTGAAGTTCTTGTTACATAACGCAATGGCCAATTCCAGTTGCTCAATCAGTAAAGAATGTCTTAAACTTTTTGAAATGAACTTTCCAGCTATAAATCCCAATTATAATTTTCATTAATCAATATACTCACAGGATAATGGAGCCCTATTGATTAATCGTTTTTAGGTGAGCAATTATGGAAAGGCTCTAAATGTTCTAAGACTGTTTCATTATTGTTGTGTTTTAGGGATCTAATTTGAATACAACAAAAACAATATCCTTTTTTGAAAAACAATATCCTAAACTTTATTATCAATAAATTTGGGATCAGTTGTGTGGTAAGACTGATTCCTTATTGCCGTTTCTGGGATTTATTTTGAATACGACAACAAAAAAGCCTTATTATAAATAAATATGGGCTAGGTTACATGAATCCTTTTCCATCCTCCATTTAGTTAATCGTTACATGTGCTGAAAAATCCAATGCAATTAGCTCTTTAGCAACAATAGGCCATGTTAATTTTGGTCTAATCCTCCCTCTTCTAACATGTTCTATGGAGACCGCATCACTCTAATGTGTCTACATATTATATAACCCAACACCCCAATCGTTCTTCCATTAATTTCTCCTCGATTTGTGTCACGACCAGTTACTGGCTTACATTCTCAACCCATCCATTGGCCGCACATCCACCTTAACATCCTCATTTTATTTTATTTTTACTATGTTGATGTTGTGAACATTTGGTCATTTAATAACTTCAACACACGATACGTAACGTGTAGTTAATCAAATTAATGATATGTAGAACTGACTTTCTAGCTTTCTCATAATAAAAAAAATTCTCTAGTACTTCTCTATTTCATCAAACTCGTTGTAATGCATTACATCCTCTTCAATTCCTCGGACTATGGTCATTGCTTGTGATGTTCAACAAGAAATATGGGTGAATAGCCGTGGGACCATGGCAAAACGTAATAGAAGGAAGAACAGACAGAATTATATGATGTAAGGTTTTAAACTCTACATTGCCTTCTAATAGTTATGACCTCCAGAGTCCGAACAAAATTAGCCCTTTACATTCGAAAAATACATACTAGCACGTTGTATCGAACAATCTAAATTAATCAAATCAATTCTTAAAAAAATATTGTACCTCAATGTCATTCCTTTGAGCGCCGGGAACTTCAAGAGCCTCGACATCAAACGAATCAATATAAGGACCGGTACGAATTAGCTTATGCTCGGATGCATCCTCATCATCAGAATCCATGCGCGGTAAATTCCCCTCCTCGCCGGCACCGCCGTTAGCTAGTCCTTCGTCGATCTCCGACTCCCACACGTCCTCATACACCCACCGCGACTCCATCGAGTCCATAGACGCTGAACCCCCATTCTCCTTCTCCGATCCCTCCTCCGCCATTAGTATTATATCTATACGAATTTATACATGTATTTTTATCTGTATATTTATTGTATATAAATGTATTCGGTAGAAATCGACCAAACCCTGAGACTTTTTGATGATTTTTCCAACAGAAATTTTTTGGGCCGTGAGTGTGTTGAATGAAATATAAAGGTAACTGACTTAAGACGAAATTGCGACTGTGATATTTCGTGAATGGAGTGATTCTAACGTACGCTCAAGGGAGCAGTGCGCACCAGCTATGGCCTTGGCTAATGCTGACACGTGTATTCCCGGGAATAATTACAATAAATTTCGTACATTCTACCGTTCCCACCTTCGTTGACATTGTTTGTGAAAAAGTGATTGGTTGAAAAATTATTTTTTTAAACTGTAAAATCTAAGTTTGTCAAGTGGTAAAGTGTAAACTATGACCGTGCACACCATTTTTTATTGTGAAATGACATAGATGAATGACATGAGCCTCTCATATGAAGTTCTTTATCACAACGAAATTCCAATTCACGAGTTATTCGTGATATAGTGGAAGTCCCCTACCTTTGCGGAAAATGCGAAGGGGGATCAAAACCTTCAAATATAGGCAGCTTAATCGTTAATTTTTCATATTCATATCGAAATAAGTCTTTCTAAAAGGCATATTTCTAAATGGATGATAAAAACGATGTGAACAAACCACACTGTATAATTACATATCTAAAAACAGATAGATACTTTGGCCCATTTGATAAGGTTCCTGCTTCTTGTTGAAAAACTTTTTGAAAAAATTACCTAAAATCAGTTTACTCTAAAAACTATTTTAATCAAATAAAGTACTTCTAAAAAGTTATCTAAATGTGTTTAAAAGTAATTTCCTAATCTTAAGACACTTTTTTTGACTTTACAAAACTATGTCCAACGAGACCAAAATCGACTCATATGATCTTTAGGAAGAAACGAAAATAAAAAATTCAAAAAGGGGGGGAGAGAAATAAAAGATAACGATATCATTCTCTCTACTCCATAATGTTTTTTAGCTCTACCGGGGTTTCAACCCCAATCTAGCTAGCGTTGATGTAGTATTAAATAATAACTGAGACTAAATGACTCATTTAATTTTACATTTCAGTTAGAGTGTGTTTGATACACATTAAAATGGAAAGAATGTATTTTTTTTGTGATGTGACTGTGAATATGTGGTTGAAAAAGAAAGAAAAGTTATTGATGTGATAGAAAATATTATTTTATTGCAAAATGTATGATTAAAAATGAGTATAAAAATGAAAATGTGGCTCAAACAGGGGGCTTGGTATATATAATCTACTGTCATTTAAATTGAGGTTACAACCTCAGTTAGTTTTAGTGATGGCAACGGAGCGGGACACCCCCACACCACTCACTTGCCCCGCGTCCCGCCCTGCGGGGCGGGGGCGGGGGCGGGGCACGGGCATGCCCCGTTTGTTAGTTTTTTTTTTTAATTTCCAATTAAAAATACAAATTCAAAATTTTAAAATCTAAAATAAATAATGTTCAAACTAACTATCGTGTATTCCCGGGAATAATTACAAGAAATTTCGTACATTCTACCGTTCCCACCTTCGTTGACATTGTTTGTGAAAAAGTGATTGGTTGAAAAATTATTTTTTTAAACTGTAAAATCCAAGTTTGTCACGTGGTAAAGTGTAAACTATGACCGCGCACACCAATTTTGATTGTGAAATGACATGAGCCTCTCATATGAAGTTCTTTATCACAAAGAAATTCCAATTCACGAGTTATTCGTGATATAGTGGAAGTCCCCTACCTTTGCGGAAAATGCGAAGGGGGATCAAAACCTTCAAATATAGGTAGCTTAATCGTTAATTTTTCATATTCATATCGAAATAAGTCTTTCTAAAAGGCATATTTCTAAATGGATGATAAAAACGATGTGAACAAACCACACTGTATAATTACATATCTAAAACGGATAGATACTTTGGCCCATTTGATAAGGTTCCTGCTTCTTGTTGAAAAACTTTCTGAAAAAATTACCTAGGATCAGTTTACTCTAAAAACTATTTTAATCAAATAAAGTACTTCTAAAAAGTTATCTAAATGTGTTTAAAAGTAATTTCCTAATCTTAAGACACTTTTTTTGAGTTTACAAAACGATGTCCAACTAGACCAAAATCGACTCATATGATCTTTAGGAAGAAACGAAAATAAAAAATTCAAAAAGGGGGGGAGAGAAATAAAAGATAACGATATCATTCTCTCTCCTCGATAATGTTTTTTAGCTCTACCGGGGTTTCAACCCCAATCTAGGTAGCGTTGATGTGGTATTAAATAATAACTGAGACTAAATGACTCATTTAATTTTACATTTCATTTAGAGTGTGTTTGATACACATTAAAATGGAAAGAATGTATTTTTTTGTGATGCTACGGTGAATATGTGGTTGAAAAAGAAAGAAAAGTTATTGATGTGATAGAAAATATTATTTTATTGCAAAATGTATGGTTAAAAATGAGTATAAAAATGAAAATGTGACTCAAACAGGGGCTTGGTATATATAATCTACTGTCATTTAAATTGAGGTTACAACCTCAGTCAGTTTTAGTGATGGCAACAGAGCGGGGCATGGGCATGCCCCGTTTCCTGCCCCATTTGTTAGTTTTTTTTTTAATTTTCAATTAAAAATACAAATTCAAAATTTTAAAATCTAAAATAAATAATGTTCAAACTAACTATATCAATATCCAAAGCAAGCACTCGAAACAAAAAATGTCCAAAACAAATAATGTTCAAAATATATTTTTTTTTTTTTAATTCTTCACGGGGCGAGTTTGGGGCGGGGCATCTCCACCCCCACCACGCCAACCCGTTTGGGGTGGATTTTTTTGCCCCATTCGGGACGGGGCCCCGCGGGGACGGGGCGAGTGGGGAAAATTGCCATCTCTTGTCAGTTCACATTACATTATTCTTATCTCCCCACCCCAGTTTGAGGCATGGTGCTATCAATTGCCATTTGCTTTCTCGGAAAAATGCAAGATTCCAATTTTTTTATTTAGATAAATTTTAATTTGTCATTATTGATGGAATTGAGCCTCTTTTATGGCGTTTGTCCCAATTCAAAATTGACCAATATTAATGAAATATCAATTTTAGTATTTAATCTCAAAGATAAGTTGGTCCATATCTCTTTTGTCAATTTCTTCTCTAAAATGCATGAAATAACTCAATATGTCGATGTCAAATGTAGATGGGCAAAAATGTTGCAATCCATCTCCTTGTCATTACCGACGTTGCTTGGTTTGGTTTCAGTTCATGCTAACCAATTGTCCTCGTGCAAAATTACCATCATTTTTAATTTTCACAAAGTAAAGTACCTCATTAAACTTCTCAATCTCGAACTTAGGTCATCGCTTCTATCACCATGCTTCACACCCCAAGTTTTAATAACCTAACGCGTTACTAAAATCACTTTTCTCTAGGTTGAACGGCGACTTAAATAATATGAAATTCGTTTCTCGCAGATTGTTACAAAAATTATTTGACAGAGGAAAAACCTCCGAAAAACATGAAAATTTAAACACAAGTACAAAACTCCTTAAATACAGCATAATCAAAATTTAGCTCCCGTCAATCGCAAGAACAACCATAAATCCTTGTTTCTGTTGACAATTCACTTTTAAAAAACAAAAACATAACTTTCTGGAAATTCAGCAACTGTAACATTCCCGTTATTTTATTGTGTTTGGTGGTGGGGGTGGGGGTGTGGCTGCACACAATTTCTGCAAGGTTTAGTTTCCTGCTGAGTGAGTTTCTATTATACCACAATAGATGCACAGTAGTGTATGGACACAGCACAGTGCCAATTCCCATTAATCCCAAGAAGACCATGAAGAAAACCAACCCGAACAGGCGAACATAGATAATTAATCAATACTTTACACTCTGAAGGCATGTAAAGGAAATAGGGAATCCATAGGAAGAAACATGCTACCGTGTTTTATGTATCATACAGTATCAGTTAAACAAGGAGACTTTTCCTCAGCTCAAGCTGGACGCAGTTTGTTGAACCTCATCATAGCTCCCTGACTCTTCATTATACGAGTACCTACATGAAAAACATATATGTGCTGCGATCAGAAATACACTACTCATCCCAACAAACGTACTTTTAATCTGCCACCAAAGAAGTGTTCCCCAACGCAGCCAGGGGTGGCACAAAGCTAATCAGCACATTCATGTAACTTGGCAATTGCCATTCTAACTGAGCCCAAAAGGGGAGGATGGAAGGAACAAAACAACAATGGCATTATATTTTCTCTGTATTCTAATAGCAAACTCGTTGCAAGTAAATTTCAGATTAAGACTTGCACCTACAAGTCATGCCACTAGAGATCCAAGCTAAATACAAATAGATATGAAAATCATATTTAGCTATGAGATCATTTTTTCATATTCTATCAATTCCTCTTACCAATCACCACTCAGCGCAGAGAAATACAGTTATAGGTTAACTCAAACATATACGAGGTCAAAATCACATTTCAAAGCAGACAAACTCACTGACAAACTATGCATTAACGCAGCACGCATTAAGCAAGTGTTATAAGTGGAAAGAATCCAAATCTGAGATTTTCCAGTTAAGTCAATATCGGGTGTACCATCATACAGTAAAAATGATTGCAAGTTTGTAACACTGGAAACTTCAGAAGAACTTTGGTAGCAGATGCTCTACAAGCAAAACTTAACAAAAAATCCAAACAAACACATCCTCTGAAGGTGAACGAGGAGCTGGCACTTGCTAAATCTGTTTATTACCTAAAAGGAACGAGCAGAGAAGAAAAGAAAGCAGCCACTGCTGTGTTCACCATGGAATTCATAAAGAGATGTAACAGGTGAGCTTCTGACGGTGTCGAAAAATCATACCATCTTACACATTCTCAGCTTCTTATGGATATAATTATTTCAATCTTTTCCACACACGAGCAAACTTTTGGGGCATCCATTAAAATCAGATGTATCAATAAAAAGAACAGTTGCGCCTACTCATTGCTAAAAAGACCAGACAGAGACAGACAGGAAAAGAAAACACAGAATCAAAACACGGTGCGCAAAGGTGCATGGATGTTTTATGCTTCAGGAGAGCGAAGCCCTTAGATATACAATGTTTATTCTTTCTACGTTTGCACAGTAAACCATGACAATCAAGATACACAATAGTGGTATATACACAAGCAGTACACTAAAGATGTCAAGAATAGATAAGCATCTAAAGAGATCACCTTACTCACACAAACAGCTAGCTTCACTTGATTGCATTAGACCTTAAGTTTTTTCTTTTTCCTGATTTTTATTTCACTTAGATACTATTGGATAAAATATGTAGCACAAATACCACAACTGCTTAAAAATAAGACCCCTCTAAAACAGTTGAACACGTCACATGGATAAAGACAAGTTCTATGGGAATGTTTTGTTACCACTGTCCTGATGCTGCATAGCAATATAGCCTCGAAGAAGGGTCATAGTAGTAACCCAAACTGCTGCTGTAGTAGTAACTGACATACAAAGTGTAAGCAGTTATTAGATTATTGAGTACAATGAAGAGAAATTCATGCCAATTTTTCACTCTCCACAAAAATTCAAGCCAAAATTCCGAATTAAGTATTGCAAATCTGGTAGGAAAGTTTTTGATTTTCTGCAATTATACAACAATAGAATCAAACAATAATACATATAAGAAATGTAAGTGCATCGTAATTTCTCTTATGGACTGACAAACCGAACATATCTAAATTTCTTTAGTGGTAGTAATGGCAATTATGTTAAAAATATATTTGCAATAATAAACATCTATTGTCCGGTAACAAACATGCACTATTTTTGTTAAATGGTCTCTGTTTTTTGACAAAGAAAATAAATTATTCCTACAGAAGAACGCTAGTAGACACAGTGGGAAAAGTAACTTGAATTCTTCTTATTCAGGAAGCAACAAAATCGGCATAAGAGCATACATAAGACTCTCTAAATACAAGATACTCTCTATTTTAGAGAGTAAATACATGAAAATAAGCTCCAAGAGACTCTATTTTAACTTTTTAAATACTCTATTTCTCAAATTATACAAACCATATTTGCATTGATAGGTCATTGACATCCAAAAAAAAAATGTTAAATAAAAATGACGGGAAAACAATAAATGTTCATTGAAAGTAAAATAAAGGGTTAAAATATAGACATTGTTGGAGTGTTTAAAAAATTTTGCTCTCCATATTTAAAGACGCGCTATTATACACAAGATGTTCTTTATAAATAGAGTCTCTTGGAGATGCTCTAAGTTGTGTGTGCCTTGCTAAAATTGTTTAAAGGTGAAGACATGTACCCAGAAGATTCGTCATATACATAATCATTCTGCAGATCTCCACCTGCATTAACAAATATGTAGCACGTTATATAATGCAGCTAAATTCTAAATTTGGAGCTTCAAATGCTAGTGTCATTGCTTACCCTCAGAAGGCTGAACAGGAACAGATTCACTCCCATCAGGGGCTGGATTTACAGAAGTATTTACATCATCTTCCGCGAACATGTCAAAAGCATCATCACCGTCATCTGTGGTGGTAGAAATGCTAAGCTTTGAAGTACCCGTGTCGACGTTAGATGGCATAAAAGATGGCCTAATCATGTTAGTCCCATTTGGAACTGGGTCTTCATTAAAAATATCATAAGACTTTTCCTGTCCTGAACTCATGGAGGTACCCTGCATCCTTGCCTGAGCTAACTTCTCATAACCCTCTAAAGATCAATGAAATAAACAATCAGGAGGAGCCAAAGATTATATAAACCGTTGGAGCACAAAACAGATTTGGAAAGCCATAGAGAAGTCACTCTGAAAAATCAAAAGATATTAAATTGTTTGGGCCCCTCTTCAATCTAAATATCCTGTTTGACTTGTATCACATTTTCAGAATGGAAGAAGATTCGACATCTTTCCACTTTTACCTATGAAAATTTCCACCCTGTTGTGAACTTCATTTATAGCTAATCTAGAAAAATGATTAAAACAACTTCCCATTTTTGGTGTTTCCATAAGCTTGAAATATCCTACAAGAGAAAGGATGCCATCCAAATTGAAATGCAGACAAAATTAAGAAAGATACTTTGACTGTTTGACATTAATATTTGTCCCTCTCATGTTTTGAGATGGGAGTCAAAGAAATAAAGCACCAAAAAGGAAAACCCATACCTCCAAACCCTTTATAAGAGTAATAAAAATGATGTAGATTATGAAGACAAGAACGAAAGAATATATGAGAAGGATGATAAGCACCATATTGAAAGATTAACATGAAGGGGAACTTATTGAAGAAATGATGGAAAATCAGCTGTAGGACAGACCTGCTTCACGCTGGAAACTCTCTTGTTTTTCATCATACACATCTGCGAAACAAATATAAATTATCGGAAAAAAAGGATAAATATAAGAGATCGGGATCTATGTTTCAGCTAGATTATCTCAACGATGGAAGGAGACACTCAACTGTAATCCCCACTCTCCATCAGTTTCATAGCATCTTCAGTTAGCTGATCAAACAGCAGTTTAGTTTCTGCTGACATCTTCTGCTTCTTGTTACCTGAGGTTCCTTTCAATCTCCTTAAAGCTTGCAAAACCTGTAAAAGAATAATCCAGCTTATGAGAGAAAAATAAAAAGTTCACGCAAATGTAAAATTCAATCGCAACATAGTACTGGGAAAAATGCAGCAGTTCCAGATCAGAAAACAAGCTGAATTTCAACATTAGCCTTATAATATGAACAGTTAATTTACCCTTTCTGTGCGATAAGTGGTAACTTTTTCAATAATTAACATCTGAAATTAGCTTGCTAAATATTATGTCATTACCGTACTTGGTGTGAACATTGCTCTACAAACCTATGTATCTTGGATCAGCCACCATATTGGTTATGTATTTAAGTTCTCATATTTATGTTATACAGCTACGTTAAACGATTATGTTGCAAAAGAAAAATGCAAAGGATGCAAAATAATATGATCTCAAAAGGCAAGCCATGAAAATTTATCTTATCATTGATTTGAATTGAAAAATTTTGAACAATCCTTTTGAAAACTACAGTAATTCTAAGCAAGATACTAACTACAACTTTTTCATATTGAAGTGAAAACTGAAGCAGCAGTCAAGTGAAGAGGGAAAATAAAAATTAAGGATCAAAGGACAACCAAGAATCTGCAACCTACACAGACCAAAAAAAAAAAAGGAATGACATGCATGATAAGCAGCAACAATCGTATTGAAAGATTACCGTTTCTCCAGGCTCAAGAACATTAGCAATCTGCCTCTTTATTTTTGCAAGTTCTTCGGGGGTAAGGTCACGAGATTCTTCATCATTACTAGTTGGAATAGAACTTTTCTCAGTATACTTTTCATAGACATCAACACTATCAAGCCACGCATCCTGTAAAACTTCACATAAGATTCTTGGATCTGCTAAATAATCATATTGTAATTTATATTCACTACCTTGATCTCATTTTCATTCACGTATTCGATGTAATTTCCATTAGCATCAAAGTATCCTTCTTCTCTTTCTTTATCCAGATTAAAAGGATCTATCTGGACGCCCTCCTCAACAAATGTTTCATTCTCCTGCCAAAAGTGACCCCCTATCATTCTGTGCGCTTCTATGATCAATCTAGTAAGAAAATCATAATCACAGTAAAAGTGCGAAGTGTTTATACCTGCATACAGTTCCCTTCCCACCCCCCACAAATGCCAAAAAGCAAGACAACTAAGAGTAAGAAACTTAATCAGGTACCAAGAGAGGTCCAAAATCACATAAAACAGTAAATACAATAATCTGAGTTACATGCAACTAACTGATATGATGGTACTTCCTAAAAGTCGAGGCTGAAACACATTCTGATGGTCAATACTGAGGTTGCAGGCAACCAATCAAAAAAATTGTCCACAACAAAACAATTCAATCACAGTGTTTTTTAATTGAAATTCTACAACCCAGACAGGCCTATTATATATGTTCAGCACGCAAAGATCATTTAATAAATCTAAATAATTTAAAGTTTTACTGGATGTTTTAATACGTAGATCCAGGATCTGCTCCAAAATACTGCCAAATTTATTCAAGGGAATAAAGGTTTTTCTTCTTTTTCCTTTTGTAAGTAAATGATCCCAGCACACAATAAAAGCATCCATCTCGAGTTGTTGGGATCGAGAATAAACTACCACTCATAGTTTTTTTTTTTTTTAAAAGGATCAACTCTCATCGAAAAACTTGGGGAGAGAGAAGCCTATGGACATTGCAAAGCTTTGATATTTTTTTTATGAGAATCACCCAAATCCTATTTTTTGAAGAATGAATCAAATAAAACGCTTATTCAATCTCATCCATGGACTGAAGATTACTATGCTAAGAATAAATATATGTGCATGATTCAAATGCAAAACCTTTCGTAGGGTTTCGCTCAATTGTCTCCCTTTATATTCATATTTATTTATTTAGAAAGAAAGAAAGACGAAATAGACATCGGTATGGGTCATTTTGGGAATACTATTAACAAGAATTAATACAAGACATCCATAAGCAGCCCCACAAATTGTCAAAAAAATAAAAATTATCAATCATACCGTATAATGGACTTCGGCTTTCGTTATGTCAGGGAGAAAATCTCTATTTTCATCATCAAGAAGTTCCTCTGCAATCTCATTCCGCCTAATCGTACGCTCTTTGGCAGCAAGCCGTGGATCACTCCAATTAGGAACATCTTTACTAAGTGAATCCTCAAATACATAATCTCCCGACCTCACCTTCTTCCCTTTCGGAAACCTCACCCTCTTTTCCCTGAATGTAAAATTGAAGAGACACAAACTCCATGAGCCAAAATAACAAAACACAAGTGGAATCGCTACGTAGAAAATTCAAAACAAAACAAAGTCTAATTCTTTTCAATTCCAAACTTTTTCAAGAATCAATATTCAAAATTAGGGCTAGAAAATTAGCAAATAATTCAACGAATACATACAAACTAATAGATATAGAGTGAGAAATTTATACGAAGGGGGTTTGTTGGACTCGGCGTCTTCAACAAAGGGACGCTTAAGGTTGCCTCGCGACAGCCCTCCTTCCATTTTCTGATTTGCTTTTCCTTCTGTGTGTTTTCTTCTTTTTTTTGTTCGAAATAGAATGGTTTTGGTAGGAGCTGGAGGATGCGAAAGTGAGACGAGGATGGATGATTATATTTCCGTCTGCTGCTTTCAAAAATCATATTCTACTTCGGGTCCCATCGGTCAAATGAAAGTTCTACAAGTTCCATGAGTTTTTAAAGAAAGAATAATGTTATCTGTAGTCACGAATTCGTCGTAATCGTTTTACGTGACATATATAACTATTAATAAAAAGTTACCACGTTAATGCATAAAATTATAAATCATCATATTTTTTACACGTCACGTCACGTAAGGACAACTGCAGATAACATTACTCGTAAAAATATAGAGACCAATGAGTAAGAAATTAAAAGTTAAATTCTAATTCCGTGAGGAAAATAGTTTGGAGACCTAAATAGGGAACAAACATAAATTTGTGGACGATAAAAATAAGATTTTTAATAAAGTATGATAAAAAAATCTTAATCCTATAAATTGAAAATAAGGTTTTTTTTTTAAAAAAAAGAAAAATTTTAAATGGGGACCGAAAAGGAGAGAAGAACTTTTTTAACTCAATTTGATTCTTTGTCCATTTTTCTTTTCTTCTCTATTTTATAAGATTTTTTTTTTCCAATTAAGATAAAAATATGGGTTAATTAATATTAAACGACTAGACAATATTTAGAGCATCAAAGTTGAAAATTCCTTGCTTGAACCTCATTTTTTTTTTTTAAATTCATTTTTTCAAAACTCATTTTCAACCACACATTATCCAATAAAACAAATTCACACGTAAATTGAAAATTTTTTCTTACTTTTTAACCACACATTTATTAAAAATAATTATTCAAAAACACATTTTTCTCTAAATTAGGGCTCAAACAAAGGCTTGTAGAATTAAAATGTTTGTAATTTTACACATATCTTATCAATTTTCGGCAATTTTTTGACATGTTTATAGTGTTTTACAAAATTCCTAGTTTTTTTTTTGGGAAAATAAGTTTTGAAATAATAACTTTTTGAAAAATGTTTGATTAGAAAGTAAGAAAAAAGATTTAGATTTACGTTCAGAATATCTTATTATAAGAATGTGATTGAAAATGAGTTGAAAAAAAAAATTGTTTTAATAGCTATCAAACATATACTTTTAAACCCTATTTTTTTGTGTAGAATGCATTTTGAAATAATATATTGATGGAAAATGTGTGGTTAAAAATAAAAAAAATAAAAATTTAGATTGCGTATAATATTATTTTATTGAAAAATATGTGATTGAAAAAAATATGAACAAAAATATATTTTAAAAAAATGGGGATCAAATAAAAGTTCAATAAGTAACAATGATTATAACTTACACTCTAAGTTACTTTACATTTAAAAAAGGTTACGATGTATGTAATTTCTTTCAAATTGTAATTTACATTATGTGTTATTATTGTTACAAATGTGCAGTTTTTAAAAATTGTAACTTTTGAGTTCACACCTATTGTCACCACCTGCCACCTATATCCACCATCTGCTGCCACCAACAGAACTGCTCTGCACCCACAAAATGGCACAGGATATGCACCACCACCACCACAAAATCATCGACCTTATATGCAGCTAGGATTTTTCAGGTGACTAGAGAATTATGTCATAAATCCAATGGAGAAACCATTGAATGGCTTTCGAAACATGCTGAATCGCCCATTATAGTTGCCACGGGTACAAGTAGAATTCTAGCTAATTGTACAACTCTATACGTAGCAGTGACACCATTTCAGATTTGCCGTCGAAGTCTGCTCCTTTCTTTCTCAATGGCGGCAAAGGCACCGCCAACATGAGAGTTCCATAACTTCAGTCACCACAAATGAAGAAGAAAACTCTCCTATCACCAGTCGATCTTAAGCCACGAAGAGTCCCAAAAAGTGAGTCGGGATTCAGGGTGGGAGATATCTTTGCAAATAATTTGATTTCACGATTTCAATTCAAAACAAAAATCACATAGGGCCTAATTTCCTCTAAAAATATTAATATTAATGATACATAGTAAAACGAGGAACCGTTTATTTTGGAAGGTTACAGTCCTTCAACTATTTTGTGTAAGAAATTACCCCATAATCGGGCCAAAGTCGAAATTCCTTCTACAGCAAATTAGGCTGGCAAGTGATTTTGGCGAATCAACGAAGAAACTCCGATTTTCATCTATCTATAATAACAATCTGCAATAACATGCTACCAAACATGCTATAAATGATCATTACTATTTCAACCATGTTTTATACATGCTATAAATGATCAAGAAAATAGAAAGGAAGACGAGGTACCAAAGAATCTGCTACCATGAAAGAGAGGTGGGTTTAAGTTAATCTAACGTAGATGGATTTATTTTGAGAATGTATCAATTCCTTGGAACTTTTCGATATGATGTGAAATTACAAAATATACAGAAGTTCATGTTCGATTTTTGATGGAATAGACACGATAACGCAGAATTCACAAAACAGGGACTTAGCTCTTGGTAGAAATGGATTATTTGCCACCAAGTGTCTGAATTATAGCTTCAAGAAGTTTGATTTCTTTATCGCGCTTGGAAATTTCATCTTGCTTCACACGTAACTCTTCCATGTGCAGTTCGAATACTTCTGCAAGTCACAAGCACTACATTACTGGATAAACAAGAGGAAAAACAACTTCAGAAGAGAGTTCTGCAACTGCTAAGTTTAAGTTCTTTAACATAAATGGTAGGCAACGGGTCTCCGCAAGGCTCTAAAGTAATTCTTTGGCAATATCGAATTCAAATGGTTATCAACTATAAATCTTCAACATAAACTAACAATTACTTGGGGTGTGGCACAAGAATTGTGCCCCTGTACAAGAATTGTGCCCCTCATCCAGCCATTACATTCCATTATGCAGACTATTAATCATACGACATGCCTCTTTCCTTAATTGGCGCCTAGGAGTTGGTGGATTTAGAAACAAACATCAAGCCAAATAGATTTACTGATTTCACAGGGACATTGTTTATGTTCTAACTTCATGGCTAAAATAATAGAATAAACTAGAAAATTCTATGAAATTTAGTACACAGCAGTGAAGCAATCTTCTTTTTTTAATAGGTTCTCCTACAGTCAAATATATACGAAGCTCACTGGCCAGTTTGCATTAGTTATCTACCAAGGTCTGGAGATAAAATTGGATATCTGCATTTAATAGCATGACTAACCATGGCATGCATGTCAATTATTAACTAACAAAACATGCTAAAGCATTAGATCCAGATTTACAATGATGATCCAAGCATGCTTTTGAACATAGCAGATTACACAAGAAAAACAAATATATGTATGGAAGCTCTGACACCACATGCAAGCTAAATAGAAAATCATGACAGATTTATGATTGTGTAATGCAGTCATAACAAGAAAGAAATAGGCTTGCAGTGTTAAAGATGTAAATTATATACACGGGGCCATATCTAATAGCTTAACATTTTAGATCAAGTGTTCAACATATGATGAACATACATAGAAGATCTTACTACTCTTGAAAGTATACGTCGTGGAAACTACAGAAGAAGCTGATAAACAAGGTTTATAAATCCTCCAATCCACAAGACTCAAATCTAAAGATGTTTCAAGCAACTTAATTCTGTATGGTGGTCAGATCATGATTCACCCAGGAAGTAGGATCATGGTACCGAGCATATGAACATGATGAATCCAAAGAAGGATAAGCTTCTTATACATTGGACAACGGATATATTTGAACATTATATTTCCTAAATAATAAGTTAAAAATTTAGTTACGTTAGACACATCGCAGATGAGGTATAGATGTTAATTTCTCTTAAATTTCAACTTATATTAATAAACCTTCTCAGCGCATCACATTATATATTCATTTTTTTTAATTTAATAATAAAACCAATGCCAACAAAGATCACAATAGGTCTTACATGTTTGCAGGCATAATTTCAATCGCCTGAACTCATTAACATGAAATCTTGGGGTATCAACCCTTGGCTGTTGGAGGTTAACATCCCTATTTTTATTAATTCAATGACCTTATTATGCAGAATGATAACTGTAACATGAATGAATTAGCATTCAGGTGCCAATGCTTTTCATGACATATACTGGAAGTACTGGGCTACAAGCATCATATTTGGTTGTTGTAGTAACATGCGGAATCATTAATTGGTAGCCTTACGGATAGGAGAAAGTGCACATACTCGTAGTGTTTTCAAGTTCTCTTGTAATCTCTTGGGCGCGTAATTCAGAAGCCTTCTTTGCTGCCTCAGCTTGACGCTTTTCACTACGTGCATGAGCAGCAGCTGAAATGGCAGAGTCTAGTTCTCTTTCTAAAGTCTCTACCCTTTGTTCAAGAACCTGCAGTGACATGACAGTTGGTTTAGCACAGTCCTTTGATACTCTATCAGTACTTTAAACACTTCACATGCTGTAATATGAAAAGTGAATGCACAATGCACACTGTATGATGAATTTCAGCATAATTCATCACGTTTTTGCTGCTGTTTCTCTTCAATACAGAAAGCAAATTTGAAGGATATGGAAATTTTCAGCAAGATTCTTCAGGATTAATATTGAAAAATAGAGTTAATCCCAATAAGACAATCTTAATACTCAGTTAAGCACAAAAATATGCACAGCAATAAGCTAAGCCTTCTCCGATAAAATAATCAACTAGAAAGCAATGCCAACATAGATTAATCAACCCCCTGAGACCAACATCCATAGCTCCAAAGAAAAACCTACATACAAAATCAATCAAACACGGCATAATATCAAGAATTCAGTGAAAATTAAGTGCATTAAACTGAAGTTATTATTGCGGACTACACACGAAAAAAAAAAAAAAATCCAATTAAATCTCTCTTTGACCAATATCCTACTCTCAAAAAATCCAAAAGCCAGACAACAGAATCAAACAAACATTGCATAAAAATCAGTAATTAAGTCAAATAAGTCCATTGTAAACTAATAATGATGGATTATAAATCCAAGGAACGCATCATAAACCTATAATCTTAGTTCAAAAAATTGTAATCCAGATAACAGAACTGATCAAATAAAGCTTAACCAAGATAATTGTGAAATTTACACAAATGTCCAGCGAACGCACCCATTGACCAATAAAGTTAGCTAAAAGAATACCATCAGCAACTCGGATCAAAGCAATCAAACATTAAACTTCAAATGCATCAAAATCAAAGTGGTTATTCTACCTTGATGGTACGGGCTTGTTCAGAGCTTAAAGAGGCCTTCGCAAAGGTCTCATCGTCGACGTAAACAGCTTTCTTCGTCAGTAATTTTTGGAGGGATTCAAGATTCGAAGCCATTTCAGTGAGATTCGAGATCGCTGCAGTCCATCTCTCGCTCCCCTTCCCCTTCTCTTTCCCTCTCTCCTCCATAGATTTTCTCCCCTATATTTTCCAAGTTGTATTCATACAAGCCTCACATTTGTTCTTAGATGAGATGACAACAATACGAGGGACAAAGAGGTGAAATTCTCAGATGTGATCCTCAAACATTCAGAAATAAAGCACATATGTCCCAGTAAATATATTCTAGCCTTTCCTTTAGCAAGGTTTTACTTCTTGTTTGCAAGACTCATTTTCAATCATACATTCTTTTTGTCAATACTTTTAAACAACACATTTTCAGAGCATGTATAGGCTAAAGTGCTAAACTAATATTTTACTAAAAATAAATTAATTGTTTTGTTCACAGGGGAGTAAACGCACACAAAAAGTGAAAGTTCGAAAATTTAAAGGAAATTTCTAAGGATAGTTTGACACTCCCCTCACAATAGGGGATGATGCATGTGATTTTAAAATTGTTGGCCCACCCCCGTGTGTGGGGAGTGTCAAACTAGATGTACACAAAAATGTACATTTAGCATTATTCAATTTCTAATGTAAGAGCAACGACACAGAGATTCTCTATTAAAAATTAGGTTAATTAGTACAAAATGTCCCTACCTTTGGGGTTGATTTTGGAAACCATCCCTACCTTTCATTTCTTGGCATTTATA